CATCAATCCCTCTCAGACGACCGATTAGCTCAGTAAGTTGCTAATAAGGTGGATGTCGTGGATACGATCCCCATGTCAACCACGTATATGTTTTGTTTTCTTTGACGATTTGGATATTTTTTTTCAGTTATGACCAACGACTCCCTATAGTCAAAAAAGGAGTGGTGAAAACCTTTGCAAAGCGACTTGCATAACGAACCCTTTCAATTTCTGGTAATCCTTGGCATGAAGGCACAGGTATTTAAGTTAACCTCACAGAGGTCTTGTCTATCTTTGAAGGGATCAAGGACAAAAACAAACCATATGGCAGCGGTGGGATTCGAACCCACGCCTCCGGAGAGACTGGTGCCTAAAACCAGCGCCTTAGACCACTCGGCCACGCTACCTATATGCTAAATGTTTCATGAAACAACGTCTTAACCTTCACACTTTTCCTAAAAAGGCATATTTAAGAGTATACCGTCTTTGATCATCCATCCCTCTCAGACGACCGATTAGCTCAGTAAGTTGCTAATAAGGTGGATGTCGTGGATACGATCCCCATGTCAACCACGTATATGTTTAGTTTTCTTTGACGATTTGGATAAGTTTTTTCAGTTATGACCAACGACTCCGTATAGTCAAAAAAGGAGTGGTGAAACCTTTGCAAAGCGACATGCATAAGGAACCCTTTCAATTTCTGGTAATCCTTGGCATGAAGGACAGGTATTTAAGTTAACCTCACAGAGGTCTTGTCTATCTTTGAAGGGATCAAGGACAAAAACAAACCAAATGGCAGCGGTGGGATTCGAACCCACGCCTCCGGAGAGACTGGTGCCTAAAACCAGCGCCTTAGACCACTCGGCCACGCTACCTATATGCTAAATGTTTCATGAAACAACGTCTTAACCTTCACACTTTTCCTAAAAAGGCATATTTAAGAGTATACCGTCTTTGATCATCAATCCCTCTCAGACGACCGATTAGCTCAGTAAGTTGCTAATAAGGTGGATGTCGTGGATACGATCCCCATGTCAACCACGTATATGTTTTGTTTTCTTTGACGATTTGGATATTTTTTTTCAGTTATGACCAACGACTCCCTATAGTCAAAAAAAGGAGTGGTGAAAACCTTTGCAAAGCGACTTGCATAACGAACCCTTTCAATTTCTGGTAATCCTTGGCATGAAGGCCCAGGTATTTAAGTTAACCTCACAGAGGTCTTGTCTATCTTTGAAGGGATCAAGGACAAAAACAAACCATATGGCAGCGGTGGGATTCGAACCCACGCCTCCGGAGAGACTGGTGCCTAAAACCAGCGCCTTAGACCACTCGGCCACGCTACCTATATGCTAAATGTTTCATGAAACAACGTCTTAACCTTCACACTTTTCCTAAAAAGGCATATTTAAGAGTATACCGTCTTTGATCATCCATCCCTCTCAGACGACCGATTAGCTCAGTAAGTTGCTAATAAGGTGGATGTCGTGGATACGATCCCCATGTCAACCACGTATATGTTTAGTTTTCTTTGACGATTTGGATAAGTTTTTTCAGTTATGACCAACGACTCCGTATAGTCAAAAAAGGAGTGGTGAAACCTTTGCAAAGCGACATGCATAAGGAACCCTTTCAATTTCTGGTAATCCTTGGCATGAAGGACAGGTATTTAAGTTAACCTCACAGAGGTCTTGTCTATCTTTGAAGGGATCAAGGACAAAAACAAACCAAATGGCAGCGGTGGGATTCGAACCCACGCCTCCGGAGAGACTGGTGCCTAAAACCAGCGCCTTAGACCACTCGGCCACGCTACCTATATGCTAAATGTTTCATGAAACAACGTCTTAACCTTCACACTTTTCCTAAAAAGGCATATTTAAGAGTATACCGTCTTTGATCATCAATCCCTCTCAGACGACCGATTAGCTCAGTAAGTTGCTAATAAGGTGGATGTCGTGGATACGATCCCCATGTCAACCATGTAAATGTTTTGTTTTCTTTGACGATTTGGATATTTTTTTTCAGTTATGACCAACGACTCCCTATAGTCAAAAAAGGAGTGGTGAAAACCTTTGCAAAGCGACTTGCACAACGAACCCTTTCAATTTCTGGTAATCCTTGGCATGAAGGACAGGTATTTTAGTTAACCTCACAGAGGTCTTGTCTATCTTTGAAGGGATCAAGGACAAAAACAAACCATATGGCAGCGGTGGGATTCGAACCCACGCCTCCGGAGAGACTGGTGCCTAAAACCAGCGCCTTAGACCACTCGGCCACGCTACCTATATGCTAAATGTATTGATGAAACAACGTCTTAACCTTCACACTTTTCCTAAAAAGGCATATTTAAGAGTATACCGTCTTTGATCATCCATCCCTCTCAGACGACCGATTAGCTCAGTAAGTTGCTAATAAGGTGGATGTCGTGGATACGATCCCCATGTCAACCACGTAAATGTTTTGTTTTCTTTGACAATTTGGATATTTTTTTTCAGTTATGACCAACGACTCCCTATAGTCAAAAAAGGAGTGGTGAAAACCTTTGCAAAGCGACTTGCATAACGAACCCTTTCAATTTCTGGTAATCCTTGGCATGAAGGCACAGGTATTTAAGTTAAGCTCACAGAGGTCTTGTCTATCTTTGAAGGGATCAAGGACAAAAACAAACCATATGGCAGTGGTGGGATTCGAACCCACGCCTCCGGAGAGACTGGTGCCTAAAACCAGTGCCTTAGACCACTCGGCCACGCTACCTATATGCTAAATGTTTCATGAAACAACGTCTTAACCTTCACACTTTTCCTAAAAAGGCATATTTAAGAGTATACCGTCTTTGATCATCAATCCCTCTCAGACGACCGATTAGCTCAGTAAGTTGCTAATAAGGTGGATGTCGTGGATACGATCCCCATGTCAACCACGTATATGTTTAGTTTTCTTTGACGATTTGGATAATTTTTTTCAGTTATGACCAACGACTCCGTATAGTCAAAAAAGGAGTGGTGAAAACATTTGCAAAGCGACTTGCATAACGAACCCTTTCAATTTCTGGTAATCCTTGGCATGAAGGCACAGGTATTTAAGTTAACCTCACAGAGGTCTTGTCTATCTTTGAAGGGATCAAGGACAAAAACAAACCATATGGCAGCGGTGGGATTCGAACCCACGCCTCCGGAGAGACTTGTGCCTAAAACCAGCGCCTTAGACCACTCGGCCACGCTACCTATATGCTAAATGTTTCATGAAACAACGTCTTAACCTTCACACTTTTCCTAAAAAGGCATATTTAAGAGTATACCGTCTTTGATCATCCATCCCTCTCAGACGACCGATTAGCTCAGTAAGTTGCTAATAAGGCGGATGTCGTGGATACGATCCCCATGTCAACCACGTATATGTTTTGTTTTCTTTGACGATTTGGATATTTTTTTTCAGTTATGACCAACGACTCCGTATAGTCAAAAAAGGAGTGGTGAAAACCTTTGCAAAGCGACTTGCATAACGAACCCTTTCAATTTCTGGTAATCCTTGGCATGAAGGCACAGGTATTTAAGTTAACCTCACAGAGGTCTTGTCTATCTTTGAAGGGATCAAGGACAAAAACAAACCATATGGCAGCGGTGGGATTCGAACCCACGCCTCCGGAGAGACTGGTGCCTAAAACCAGCGCCTTAGACCACTCGGCCACGCTACCTATATGCTAAATGTTTCATGAAACAACGTCTTAACCTTCACACTTTTCCTAAAAAGGCATATTTAAGAGTATACCGTCTTTGATCATCCATCCCTCTCAGACGACCGATTAGCTCAGTAAGTTGCTAATAAGTAGGATGTCGTGGATACGATCCCCATGTCAACCACGTATATGTTTAGTTTTCTTTGACGATTTGGATAAGTTTTTTCAGTTATGACCAACGACTCCGTATAGTCAAAAAAGGAGTGGTGAAACCTTTGCAAAGCGACATGCATAAGGAACCCTTTCAATTTCTGGTAATCCTTGGCATGAAGGACAGGTATTTAAGTTAACCTCACAGAGGTCTTGTCTATCTTTGAAGGGATCAAGGACAAAAACAAACCATATGGCAGCGGTGGGATTCGAACCCACGCCTCCGGAGAGACCTGTGCCTAAAACCAGCGCCTTAGACCACTCGGCCACGCTACCTATATGCTAAATTTTCATGAAACAACGTCTTAACCTTCACACTTTTCCTAAAAAGGCATATTTAAGAGTATACCGTCTTTGATCATCCATCCCTCTCAGACGACCGATTAGCTCAGTAAGTTGCTAATAAGGTGGATGTCGTGGATACGATCCCCATGTCAACCACGTAAATGTTTTGTTTTCTTTGACGATTTGGATATTTTTTTTCAGTTATGACCAACGACTCCCTATAGTCAAAAAAGGAGTGGTGAAAACATTTGCAAAGCGACTTGCATAACGAACCCTTTCAATTTCTGGTAATCCTTGGCATGAAGGCACAGGTATTTCAGTTAACATCACAGAGGTCTTGTCTATCTTTGAAGGGATCAAGGACAAAAAAACAAACCATATGGCAGCGGTGGGATTCGAACCCACGCCTCCGGAGAGACTGGTGCCTAAAACCAGCGCCTTAGACCACTCGGCCACGCTACCTATATGCTAAATGTTTCATGAAACAATGTCTTAACCTTCACACTTTTCCTAAAAAGGCATATTTAAGAGTATACCGTCTTTGATCATCCATCCCTCTCAGACGACCGATTAGCTCAGTAAGTTGCTAATAAGGTGGATGTCGTGGATACGATCCCCATGTCAACCACGTAAATGTTTTGTTTTCTTTGACGATTTGGATATTTTTTTTCAGTTATGACCAACGACTCCGTATAGTCAAAAAAGGAGTGGTGAAAACCTTTGCAAAGCGACTTGCATAACGAACCCTTTCAATTTCTGGTAATCCTTGGCATGAAGGCACAGGTATTTAAGTTAACCTCACAGAGGTCTTGTCTATCTTTGAAGGGATCAAGGACAAAAACAAACCATATGGCAGCGGTGGGATTCGAACCCACGCCTCCGGAGAGACTTGTGCCTAAAACCAGCGCCTTAGACCACTCGGCCACGCTACCTATATGCTAAATGTTTCATGAAACAACGTCTTAACCTTCACACTTTTCCTAAAAAGGCATATTTAAGAGTATACCGTCTTTGATCATCCATCCCTCTCAGACGACCGATTAGCTCAGTAAGTTGCTAATAAGGTGGATGTCGTGGATACGATCCCCATGTCAACCACGTAAATGTTTTGTTTTCTTTGACGATTTGGATATTTTTTTTCAGTTATGACCAACGACTCCCTATAGTCAAAAAAGGAGTGGTGAAAACCTTTGCAAAGCGACTTGCATAACGAACCCTTTCAATTTCTGGTAATCCTTGGCATGAAGGCACAGGTATTTAAGTTAACATCACAGAGGTCTTGTCTATCTTTGAAGGGATCAAGGACAAAAAAACAAACCATATGGCAGCGGTGGGATTCGAACCCACGCCTCAGGAGAGACTGGTGCCTAAAACCAGCGCCTTAGACCACTCGGCCACGCTACCTATATGCTAAATGTTTCATGAAACAATGTCTTAACCTTCACACTTTTCCTAAAAAGGCATATTTAAGAGTATACCGTCTTTGATCATCCATCCCTCTCAGACGACCGATTAGCTCAGTAAGTTGCTAATAAGGTGGATGTCGTGGATACGATCCCCATGTCAACCACGTAAATGTTTTGTTTTCTTTGACGATTTGGATATTTTTTTTCAGTTATGACCAACGACTCCCTATAGTCAAAAAAGGAGTGGTGAAAACCTTTGCAAAGCGACTTGCATAACGAACCCTTTCAATTTCTGGTAATCCTTGGCATGAAGGACAGGTATTTTAGTTAACCTCACAGAGGTCTTGTCTATCTTTGAAGGGATCAAGGACAAAAACAAACCATATGGCAGCGGTGGGATTCGAACCCACGCCTCCGGAGAGACTGGTGCCTAAAACCAGCGCCTTAGACCACTCGGCCACGCTACCTATATGCTAAATGTTTCATGAAACAACGTCTTAACCTTCACACTTTTCCTAAAAAGGCATATTTAAGAGTATACCGTCTTTGATCATCAATCCCTCTCAGACGACCGATTAGCTCAGTAAGTTGCTAATAAGGTGGATGTCGTGGATACGATCCCCATGTCAACCACGTATATGTTTTGTTTTCTTTGACGATTTGGATATTTTTTTTCAGTTATGACCAACAACTCCCTATAGTCAAAAAAGGAGTGGTGAAAACCTTTGCAAAGCGACTTGCATAACGAACCCTTTCAATTTCTGGTAATCCTTGGCATGAAGGCACAGGTATTTAAGTTAACCTCACAGAGGTCTTGTCTATCTTTGAAGGGATCAAGGACAAAAACAAACCATATGGCAGCGGTGGGATTCGAACCCACGCCTCCGGAGAGACTGGTGCCTAAAACCAGCGCCTTAGACCACTCGGCCACGCTACCTATATGCTAAATGTTTCATGAAACAACGTCTTAACTTTCACACTTTTCCTAAAAAGGCATATTTAAGAGTATACCGTCTTTGATCATCCATCCCTCTCAGACGACCGATTAGCTCAGTAAGTTGCTAATAAGGTGGATGTCGTGGATACGATCCCCATGTCAACCACGTAAATGTTTTGTTTTCTTTGACGATTTGGATATTTTTTTTCAGTTATGACCAACGACTCCCTATAGTCAAAAAAGGAGTGGTGAAAACATTTGCAAAGCGACTTGCATAACGAACCCTTTCAATTTCTGGTAATCCTTGGCATGAAGGCACAGGTATTTAAGTTAACCTCACAGAGGTCTTGTCTATCTTTGAAGGGATCAAGGACAAAAAAACAAACCATATGGCAGCGGTGGGATTTCGAACCCACGCCTCCGGAGAGACTGGTGCCTAAAACCAGCGCCTTAGACCACTCGGCCACGCTACCTATATGCTAAATGTTTCATGAAACAATGTCTTAACCTTCACACTTTTCCTAAAAAGGCATATTTAAGAGTATACCGTCTTTGATCATCCATCCCTCTCAGACGACCGATTAGCTCAGTAAGTTGCTAATAAGGTGGATGTCGTGGATACGATCCCCATGTCAACCACGTAAATGTTTTGTTTTCTTTGACGATTTGGATATTTTTTTTCAGTTATGACCAACGACTCCGTATAGTCAAAAAAGGAGTGGTGAAAACCTTTGCAAAGCGACTTGCATAACGAACCCTTTCAATTTCTGGTAATCCTTGGCATGAAGGCACAGGTATTTAAGTTAACCTCACAGAGGTCTTGTCTATCTTTGAAGGGATCAAGGACAAAAACAAACCATATGGCAGCGGTGGGATTCGAACCCACGCCTCCGGAGAGACTGGTGCCTAAAACCAGCGCCTTAGACCACTCGGCCACGCTACCTATATGCTAAATGTTTCATGAAACAACGTCTTAACTTTCACACTTTTCCTAAAAAGGCATATTTAAGAGTATACCGTCTTTGATCATCCATCCCTCTCAGACGACCGATTAGCTCAGTAAGTTGCTAATAAGGTGGATGTCGTGGATACGATCCCTATGTCAACCACGTATATGTTTAGTTTTCTTTGACGATTTGGATAAGTTTTTTCAGTTATGACCAACGACTCCCTATAGTCAAAAAAGGAGTGTTGAAAACCATTGGAAAGCGACATGCATATCGAACCCTTTCAATTTCTGGTAATCTTTGGCAAGAAAGCATAGGTATTTTTGTTAACCTCACAGAGGTCTTGTCTATCTTTGAAGGGATCAAGGACAAAAACAAACCATATGGCAGCGGTGGGATTCGAACCCACGCCTCCGCAGAGACTGGTGCCTAAAACCAGCGCCTTAGACCACTCGGCCACGCTACCTATATGCTAAACGTTTCATGAAACAACGTCTTAACCTTCACACTTTTCCTCAAAAGGCATAGTTAAGAGTATACCGTCTTTGATCAACCATCCCTTTCAGACGACCGATTAGCTCAGTAAGTTGCTAATAAGGTGGATGTCGTGGATACGATCCCCATGTCAACCACGTATATGTTTCGTTTTCTTTGACGATTTGGATATTTGTTTTCAGTATAACCAACGACTCCCTATAGTCAAAAAAGGAGTGGTGAAAACATTTGCAAAGCGACTTGCATAACGAACCCTTTCAATTTCTGGTAATCCTTGGCATGAAGGCACAGGTATTTAAGTTAACCTCACAGAGGTCTTGTCTATCTTTGAAGGGATCAAGGACAAAAACAAACCATATGGCAGCGGTGGGATTCGAACCCACGCCTCCGCAGAGACTGGTGCCTAAAACCAGCGCCTTAGACCACTCGGTCACGCTACCTATATGCTAAACGTTTCATGAAACAACGTCTTAACCCTCACACTTTTCCTTAAAGGCATAGTTAAGAGTATACCGTCTTTGATCAACCATCCCCTTCAGACGAAAGATTAGCTCAGTAAGTTGCTAATAAGGCGGATGTCGTGGATACGATCCCCATGTCAACCACGTATATGTTTAGTTTTCTTTGACGATTTGGATAAGTTTTTTTCAGTTATGACCAACGACTCCCTATAGTCAAAAAAGGAGTGGTGAAAACATTTGCAAAGCGACTTGCATAACGAACCCTTTCAATTTCTGGTAATCCTTGGCATGAAGGCACAGGTATTTAAGTTAACCTCACAGAGGTCTTGTCTATCTTTGAAGGGATCAAGGACAAAAACAAACCATATGGCAGCGGTGGGATTCGAACCCACGCCTCCGCAGAGACTGGTGCCTTAAACCAGCGCCTTAGACCACTCGGCCACGCTACCTATATGCTAAACGTTTGATGAAACAACGTCTTAACCCTCACACTTTTCCTTAAAGGCATAGTTAAAAGTATACCGTCTTTGATCAACCATCCCTTTCAGACGACCGATTAGCTCAGTAAGTTGCTAATAAGGCGGATGTCGTGGATACGATCCCCATGTCAACCACGTATATGTTTCGTTTTCTTTGACGATTTGGATAAGTTTTTTCAGTTATGACCAACGACTCCCTATAGTCAAAAAAGGAGTGGTGAAAACATTTGCAAAGCGACTTGCATAACGAACCCTTTCAATTTCTGGTAATCCTTGGCATGAAGGCACAGGTATTTAAGTTAACCTCACAGAGGTCTTGTCTATCTTTGAAGGGATCAAGGACAAAAACAAACCATATGGCAGCGGTGGGATTCGAACCCACGTCTCCGGAGAGACTGGTGCCTAAAACCAGCGCCTTAGACCACTCGGCCACGCTACCTATATGCTATATGTTTTATGAAACAACGTCTTAACCTTCACACTTTTCCTAAAAAGGCATATTTAAGAGTATACCGTCTTTGATCAACCATCCCTCTCAGACGACCGATTAGCTCAGTAAGTTGCTAATCAGGCGGATGTCGTGGATACGATCCCCATGTCAACCACGTATTTGTTTAGTTATCTTTGACGATTTGGATAACTTTTTTCAGTTATGACCAACGACTCCCTATAGTCAAAAAAGGAGTGGTGAAACCTTTGGAAAGCGACATGCATAACGAACCCTTTCAATTTCTGGTAATCCTTGGCATGAAGGACAGGTATTTTAGTTAATCTCACAGAGGTCTTGTCTATCTTTGAAGGGATCAAGGACAAAAACAAACCATATGGCAGCGGTGGGATTCGAACCCACGCCTCAGGAGAGACTGGTGCCTAAAACCAGCGCCTTAGACCACTCGGCCACGCTACCTATATGCTAAACGTTTCATGAAACAACGTCTTAACCTTCACACTTTTCCTAAAAAGGCATAGTTAAGAGTATACCGTCTTTGATCAACCATCCCTCTCAGACGACCGATTAGCTCAGTAAGTTGCTAATAAGGTGGATGTCGTGGATACGATCCCCATGTCAACCACGTATATGTTTCGTTTTCTTTGACGATTTGGATATTTGTTTTCAGTATAACCAACGACTCCCTATAGTCAAAAAAGGAGTGGTGAAAACATTTGCAAAGCGACTTGCATAACGAACCCTTTCAATTTCTGGTAATCTTTGGCATGAAGGCACAGGTATTTAAGTTAACCTCACAGAGGTCTTGTCTATCTTTGAAGGGATCAAGGACAAAAACAAACCATATGGCAGCGGTGGGATTCGAACCCACGTCTCCGGAGAGACTGGTGCCTAAAACCAGCGCCTTAGACCACTCGGCCACGCTACCTATATGCTATATGTTTCATGAAACAACGTCTTAACCTTCACACTTTTCCTAAAAAGGCATATTTAAGAGTATACCGTCTTTGATCAACCATCCCTCTCAGACGACCGATTAGCTCAGTAAGTTGCTAATCAGGCGGATGTCGTGGATACGATCCCCATGTCAACCAGGTATTTGTTTAGTTATCTTTGACGATTTGGATAACTTTTTTCAGTTATGACCAACGACTCCCTATAGTCTATATGCTAATTGTAAAAAATTGAAGTCTTTCTTTCTCAAATGATGATTTCTTTATTCTTTCATGTTTTGCATTCTTTCTTTTCTTTACATTCTTTTTGTTTCCATTGAGATAAATGTCTTTCTTTTCTTAACTAGAATCTCATTATTTTCAGATTGACTGAAATACAAATAAATAAACAATAATTACTATTTTGATCAAATGATGCATTAATGCAAATAATCATAATGACATTATAAATGAATTAACCTAATAAAATTGACTACCTCTCAGTGACATGAAATACTATGCAAAATGTAAACAAACGATGAAAAACATTTTATGACTAAATAACTGCTCTAAAACATTTATACACAGGTAGATAATGATAAAATAATATATATGACAAAATTTGGCAAACTCACCATTGTTTTTAGACTCTTTTATCCTAAAAACCTTTTCTCATTTCTTTCATTCTCACATGCATGCTGCATGCTTTTAGGGCCACATGGAAGATAATACACGATACTAAGCAGTTATGCCCCTTGGCATATTATGATGAGTAAACATAAATTTGAATGGAGAAGAAATGAAATATGAATTAATACTTGCCAAAAACGAAATATGATTTATATTTCAATACTTTGATAACAAACAAAGGAAATATGATTCTGAACTTTGCAAATAATAACTTAACAATTTTGACACTTACACACCGGCCTCCTAATTGTAGGATGAAATGAAACAATTATCTTAACTAAGAAACAATAACCCACAAACACTCCTAAATAAACACTTAATTGTCAATATTCATGTGTTTACACTTTTACTTAGCACATCCCTTTGAAAGTTCTGTTATGTTTGTAGACAGCTCTACTAATTGTCTTCCATAACGAGACACAGTTTGTCAACAGGTCGCACAAATTCTGAAGAAGCAGTCTTCACTTTTACAGTTCGCACAAGGTTTTTCCTGTCGTGATAGAGTTCTGTTACTCTTGCAAGAGCCCACGCATTACGTGGTGTATTGTCCATAATTAGCACAATGTCTCCAATCTGAAGGTTTCTTTTGATCTGATTCCATTTTTGCTTTTGCTGCAGGAGAGGTAGATATTCTTTCTTCCATCTTTTCCAGAAGATGTCTGCAAGGTATTGTACTTGCTTCCATCATCGACGGCTATAGATGTCCTCTTTCTTGAATGTTCCGGGAGGCATCTTTTCACCAGAACGTAGGTATAACAGATGGTTAGGAGTGAGCACAGATAAATCATGCACATCATATGACAGATCAGTGATAGGACGTCCATTGATGATAGATTCCACTTCGCAAAACAAAGTGTTCAACGCCTCATCATCCAGCTTAATGTTCTGCTCTTGTAGTAAACAATGAAGCACTTTCCGTACAGTCCTAATCATCCGCTCCCAGAATCCACCATTATGGGAGGCTGCAGGTGGATTGAAGCTCCATTCAATCCCTTTGTCAACGAAGGCAGAGTGAATCTTTGATTCTTTTAAGTTCTTTAATGCTTCACATAATTCTCGCTGACATCCGACAAGGTTAGTACCATTGTCAGATTTGATGAACTTGGGTGGTCCACGTCGTGCGACAAATCTTCTGATGGCATGGATACAGGAGTCTGTGTCTAGGGTGGCAGCCACTTCCAGATGTATAGCACGAAGATTCATGCAAGTGAATACAACTCCATATCGTTTTACTGAGGTACGTCCACGTATCACTTTGAAAGGACCAAAGAAGTCCATACCTACATTGGTGAAAGGTGGTAGGTCAGGAGTTATCCGTTCATCTGGGAGATCAGACATCTTTTGTTGTCCTGGAGAGGAGTGATATTTACGACATGTGACACACTTTGAAACTATTGTCTTCACCAGTGAGCCTGCTCCAATCACCCAGTACCATTGTCTGAGATGTGACAAGATGGAGTTCTTTCCTAGATGTCCAACAATCTTAGGAGTCTCTTCAATGATCAAGCGTGTTACACGAGATTTCTTGGGAAGAATGATTGGGTGCTTTTCGCTGAAGGAAATCTCTGCATTCTTGAGGCGTCCTCCAACATGAATGACGTCATCTTGAAGAAATGGATCCAACTTGTAGAGAGGGCTTAATTTATCAACTGTTGCAGAAGATTGCTTGAGACATCGTTGTTCTTTCGAGATATGTTGTGTCTGACAGTGTTGGACTAGGAGCTTTTCTGCATCTTCAAGGACTTGAACATTCATGGTGTAGTTCACTTTCTTGGTGGATTGAGACTTGTTGACTCTCTGGCGCAAACATCTGATAGTTAACATGATCCATGCTACTGCTCTTCTTAACTTTGTCCAACTTGAGAAGTGGTTAATTAGAATGTCTAGGAAGCTATCCTTCTCCATGATGGTTGCATGAACAAATTCCTTAAGTTCAAGATCATCTTCTTGAGGTTCTTGGTTGCTGTATTGCTTCGGCCAGTACTTGTGGTGCTGCCATAGGAATCTTGGTCCTCCCGTCCAATGCTGAATATGGTGCTCATTATCAAGCTTGATGCCTCTTGAAGCATAGTCTGCTGGGTTCTCTTTAGATGACACATACCTCCATTGATCAATATCAGAACAGTCTCTTATCACAGCAATCCGGTTTGCTACAAAGGTTTTGAACCTGGCATTGGTGTTAAAGATACATCTCAACACTGACATGCTGTCCGTCCAGAAGAAAGTTGTGTCTACTTTGACCTGAAGTTCTTGAAGAATAAGGGATGACATGCGTACAGCTAGAGTAGCAGCAGTGAGTTCCATGCGTGGTATGGTTATTTTCTTTAAGGGAGCAACCCTTGATTTAGACATTACCAGAGCACAATGGATCTCCTCATCTTCATTCACAAATCTGATGTAACCGACGACTCCATATCCTACATTGCTCGCGTCTGCAAAAAGGTGAAGTTGACATGATGTTACAAGTCCAAACTCCATAGGCTTGTAGCATCTTGGAATGTGGATATCTTCTAACAAGGTAAGATCTTTCAGCCATTGATGCCATATCTTCTGTGTCTTTGAATCAACATCTTCATCCCAATCTTTCTGTTCTTTATGTAGGTTTTGGAGCAGCTGTTTTGAAATGAGTATGAAAGGAGCCATGAGTCCAAGAGGGTCATACACACTGCTAACCACAGACAGGATGCCACGTTTAGTGTCTGGTTTCATCTTGCTCTTTATCTTGAATCCAAGGGTGTCTGATTGCACAAACCAGTAGACACCTAACGCTCTTTCAGATGGAAGGTCTTCACAGTCCAAGTTCAAGTCTTTAACATCCTTTGCTCTTTCTTGAGGTGGGATTGATTTCATTACTGTAGAGCTGTTGGAGATCCACTTGGTAAGCCTGAAGCTGCCTTCACTGCACAAACTGGTAAGTTCTTTTACAGTTGATACTGCCTTTTCTTCATTCAATTCGGATGCCAGACAATCATCTACATAGACGTTGTCAGTCAACTTTTCTATAATTTCTGGGACAAACTTATCCTGACTGTCCCTTGCTGTTTGTTGTAAGGCAAAGGATGCACATGAAGCAGAAGATACAGCTCCAAAGATATGGACTAACATCCGATACACTTTAGGTTCTTTTCTACAATCTCCGTCCGGCCACCAGTAGAAGCGAAGGAAGTCATTGTCTTCTTTTGGCACTCTGACTCGATAGTACATGGATTCGATATCACCCATGAAGGCAATGTTCTCCTGTCTATATCTCATTAGAACACCGAGGAGGCTGTTGCATAGATTGGGTCCTTGAAGCAAACTACTATTTAGGGAAACACCTTGGAATGTTGCTGAACAGTCAAAGACAACTCTTATTTTCCCTTGCTTGCGTGGATGGTACACCCCGTGGTGTGGGATAAACCATACTTTGCCTGGTTTACCTTTCAGTTCATCTTGAGGAACAATTTCAGCATATTCTTTGCTAAGGATGTCTTCCATGAACTTCTTATAGTCTTTATGTATTTGAGGGTTCATTGTAAATTTCTTCTTGAGTCCTCTCAAACGCTGTAAGGCTTGTTCACTGTTGTCAGGCATGATGACATCCTTGTCTCGAAAGGGCAGATTGACAACATAGTGTCCATCTTCTTTATGAATAGAGTTTGTCACAATCTTCATAAATTCTTTGTCCTCTTGTGACATTTCTTTTCTTTCTTCTGCTGCTTTCTCTGGAAAGTCATAGTTCATGCTGTCTTTCATCATAGTATTAATGTTCTGTAGATCTTCCATTGCTTTTATTGTTATGTCTGTTCTCATTGATGGAAATCTGTTTTCTTTTGCAAGTCTGAGGACATTCCAAAGTATCCATCCAAGCTTGGTTCTTGTTGCATGAGGACTTCCATCAGGACCGGTACGAATCTCTAGTGGTGCATAGGAGTCTGGTACATTTCCCCCGATGAGGATATCTACACTTGCATCAATCTCAGGCAGATATATATCATTAAGGTGAGGCCATTTTTGAACGTCAGATGAAACAGGTATGTGTTTCTTCAAAACTGGTATGTGTTCCTTGGAGTAAACGGTAGGTAGTGCGATCGTGTTCCTGAGGTCAAGGTCGTGCACTTGTAAGCCATTCACTGCTTGCACTGAAGTGGTGTAGGGCTTCCCCATTGTATCAATAGTAATATCCATACTTTTCCCACTGCATCCAAGTTTCTTCAAAAGCGATTCGGAACAAAATGAGACAGTACTGCCTGGATCAAGGAAGGCATATGTTGACTCAACCTTGACTCCGTTACTGTATGACACTTTCACCGGAATAATAGCAAGAGTACATTCCATGGCCCCGGCCTCCATAGCTTCACATGTTCCATCTTGTTCGGTACATGCACCAACCAGCTTTCTTTCAGTTTCATACACAACATGCAGGATTCCCTGATGATTTCTGTTACATCTGAAGCAGGTTACTGTCTTCTCACAGGACTTGCTCAAGTGACCATAACACAAACATCGAAAACACAATCCCCTTTTCTGAAGAAATGCCAGTCTATCCTTCAAAGTCTTCTTAACAATCTGATCACAAATCTGCAACTTATGAGAATTGCTGTTACAGTATATACACAAGATCTGCTGACCTTCAGGTTTGCTTGACTGGGTGTTCTGAGTTGTATTCTCTACCATGTCTGTGCTGAAGGAAGGCTTGAATGATGATTGTGAAGCAATTCCTGCGTTTCTCTTTGGCTGTGTCTTTGTTCTGTCATCATTCCTCAGAGCATCTTTTCCATACATTGGATCTGTTGCTTTTCTTGCTTCTCTCTTCACAAACTTGACCAGGTTATGGAATGCTACAGTTCCTCCCGAATCCCTGATAGATATGACAATATTCCTCCACTTCTCATGGCAATGGAAAGGGAGTTTCATAACGAGCCTTCTGATGTTGTCAGGATACTCCAGGATCTTTACTGCTGTGATGGAGCTTACTGCATTCTCACATTCTTGTAGGAAGATGGCATATTCATCCATGGATTTAGGGTTGTCTACTTTTACATTAGGCCATCCCAATGCTTTCTTGACGAGAGCAGATGCAATAGCGTCTTCATTGCCGTATCGTTCATCAAGTTCCTGCCATGCCTTTTGATACCCTTGACTGGCCTCCAGGTAACTATATCCCTTGACAATTTTCAGCGCTTCACCTAATGTGAACTGTTCTAGATATGACATCTTCTCATCTTCTGTTTCTGAGTTGACAACAATCTTCACCTTGAACTGACGCTTGAATCTTTGATATTCAATAGGATCCCCAGAGAACTTCATGATTTCAGGAGGCGGCTTTCGGAGCTGTTGTACAGCACACTGAATAAGATTCTCATCGCTTGCTGCAGTAGTTTGTGGAGACAAGTGTTGATTGAAGTCTTCTTGAAGAGGTAAGTTTATGTTATCAGGTAAGTACCGTTTACGTTCAGTGTTGAAATGTTCATTTACATCTTCATTCACAGGAACAGGGACATATGGATCGTGCGGTTGTAGTGAACGTTCTGATTTCACACTACCTCTGTCAGAGAAATAATCTTGAAGCACTTTAGACTTTGCTTGAGAAATCTCCATTTCTGTTTTCAGTTCTAACTCTTCTTCCTTCATTTTCAATTCCATCTTTGCTAAGTCTATTTTCTGTTTCTCTTTCAATGCTTTCATCTTTGTCTCTAATTCAACTTGCTTTTGTTTTTCTTTCAGATGGGCTGATGAAACACGACTTGTTAGTGATGAATGACTGCCTTTAGAGGAGGCTGATTCTTCTTTAAATATACAAGCACTTTTCAGGCTGACTGAACCTTGTCTACTTATATCTTTCTTATCAGTTTGTTTAACTTCTGGTTTCTGTTCATCTTCACTTTTGTCATTCAGTGAATCTTTAACATTCTTTTTCTCTGTTTCACTTGGTTCACGGATGTGTTTGAGAAAGAATGCTTCTAACTTTGATTTACATGTCAGCAAAACAGAGTCTTGTGATTCACATTCTTCAATAAAAGGACTAAGTTCAATTTCATCCAACAGTGATGCAAAGTCTTTCCGGAGATCTAACAGTGTTTCGTAGAATTTCAACCAGCTTCCATGACTACATCTATTCTCCTCTATCTCTTCAGAAGTGAAAGTTTCAACATGAGATTTGGCATAAAGTTTATCAAAATCATCCAACAATTGTTTATATAAACTCTTAATTTTCTTATATTTAGTTTGCTTAGCATACTGCAAACCCTTTTCTGTCATCTTCCTTAGTCTTTGTTTCAAAACATTATCCTTTTCTTTTCCTTCCATACCTTTGTCTAAACAATGTCAATGCTGTAATAACTTGAAGTCTTTCTTTCTCAAATGATGATTTCTTTATTCTTTCATGTTTTGCATTCTTTCTTTTCTTTACATTCTTTTTGTTTCCATTTAGATAAATGTCTTTCTTTTCTTAACTAGAATCTCATTATTTTCAGATTGACTGAAATACAAATAAATAAACAATAATTACTATTTTGATCAAATGATGCATTAATGCAAATAATCATAATGACATTATAAATGAATTAACCTAATAAAATTGACTACCTTTCAGTGACCTGAAATACTATGCAAAATGTAAACAAACGATGAAAAACACTTTATGACTAAATAACTGCTCTAAAACATTTATACACAGGTAGATAATGATAAAATAATATATATGACAAAATTCGGCAAACTCACCATTGTTTTTAGACTCTTTTATCCTTAAAACCTTTTCTCATTTCTTTCATTCTCACATGCATGCTGCATGCTTTTAGGGCCACATGGAAGATAATACACGATACTAAGCAGTTATGCCCCTTGGCATATTATGATGAGTAAACATAAATTTGAATGGAGAAGAAATGAAATATGAATTAATACTTGCCAAAAACGAAATATGATTTATATTTTAATACTTTGATAACAAACAAAGGAAATATGATTCTGAACTTTGCAAATAATAACTTAACAATTTTGACACTTACACTAATGTTTCATGAAACAACGTCTTAACCTTCACACTTTTCCTAAAAAGGCATATTTAAGAGTATACCGTCTTTGATCAACCATCCCTCTCAGACGACCGATTAGCTCAGTAAGTTGCTAATCAGGCGGATGTCGTGGATACGATCCCCATGTCAACCACGTATTTGTTTAGTTATCTTTGACGATTTGGATAATTTTTTTCAGTTATGACCAACGACTCCGTATAGTCAAAAAAGGAGTGGTGAAACCTTTGGAAAGCGACATGCATAACGAACCCTTTCAATTTCTGGTAATCCTTGGCATGAAGGACAGGTATTTTAGTTAATCTCACAGAGGTCTTGTCTATCTATGAAGGGATCAAGGACAAAAACAAACCATATGGCAGCGGTGGGATTCGAACCCACGCCTCCGGAGAGACTGGTGCCTAAAACCAGCGCCTTAGACCACTCGGCCACGCTATCTATATGCTAAATGTTTCATGAAACAACGTCTTAACCTTCACACTTTTCCTAAAAAGGCATAGTTAAGAGTATACCGTCTTTGATCAACCATCCCTCTCAGACGACCGATTAGCTCAGTAAGTTGCTAATAAGGCGGATGTCGTGGATACGATCCCCATGTCAACCACGTATATGTTTTGTTTTCTTTGACGATTTGGATATTTTTTTTCAGTATAACCAACGACTCCCTATAGTCAAAAAAGGAGTGTTGAAAACCATTGGAAAGCGACATGCATAACGAACCCTTTCACTTTCTGGTAATCTTTGGCAAGAAAGCATAGGTATTTTAGTTAACCTCACAGAGGTCTTGTCTATCTTTGAAGGGATCAAGGACAAAAACAAACCATATGGCAGCGGTGGAATTCGAACCCACGCCTCCGGAGAGACTGGTGCCTAAAACCAGCGCCTTAGACCACTCGGCCACGCTACCTATATGCTAAACGTTTCATGAAACAACGTCTTAACCTTCACACTTTTCCTAAAAAGGCATAGTTAAGAGTATACCGTCTTTGATCAACCATCCCTTTCAGACGACCGATTAGCTCAGTAAGTTGCTAATAAGGTGGATGTCGTGGATACGATCCCCATGTCAACCACGTATATGTTTAGTTTTCTTTGACGATTTGGATAAGTTTTTTCAGTTATGACCAACGACTTCGTATAGTCAAAAAAGGAGTGGTGAAAACATTTGCAAAGCGACTTGCATAACGAACCCTTTCAATTTCTGGTAATCCTTGGCATGAAGGCACAGGTATTTAAGTTAACCTCACAGAGGTCTTGTCTATCTTTGAAGGGATCAAGGACAAAAACAAACCATATGGCAGCTGTGGGATTCGAACTCACGCCTCCGGAGAGACTGGTGCCTAAAACCAGCGCCTTAGACCACTTGGCCACGCTACCTATATGCTAAATGTTTCATGAAACAACGTCTTAACCTTCACACTATTCCTAAAAAGGCATATTTAAGAGTATACCGTCTTTGATCAACCATCCCTCTCAGACGACCGATTAGCTCAGTAAGTTGCTAATCAGGCGGATGTCGTGGATACGATCCCCATGTCAACCACGTATTTGTTTAGTTATCTTTGACGATTTGGATATTTTTTTTCAGTTATGACCAACGACTCCCTATAGTCAAAAAAGGAGTGGTGAAAACATTTGCAAAGCGACTTGCATAACGAACCCTTTCAATTTCTGGTAATCCTTGGCATGAAGGCACAGGTATTTTAGTTAACCTCACAGAGGTCTTGTCTATCTTTGAAGGGATCAAGGACAAAAACAAACCATATGGCAGCGGTGGGATTCGAACCCACGCCTCCGGAGAGACTGGTGCCTAAAACCAGAGCCTTTTTTTTTTTTTTTTTTTTTTTTCTTGATAAAATTTATTCACAGGAATATAATACAAACGCAGACAGTGGTGACACTGCCACCACAAAGATAAAAAGGGTATCACAGAAGTTGGGTGGCAGTGGTTAACATTTTAATTCTAAGGACAGAAATATGAGAAATAGATTTTTACATTTGATTATGTACACACAACTTTGTAATTGATTCATTTTTCAATAGTGAACAATCATTCAACTAAAATGACACTTTATGAAAGATTTGAAAAAAGCATTCATGTGAAATGAAATAGTATAAGTAACTTATAATTGAGCTAATCAAGAGGATGTTTCAAAAGAATGTCATTCCCATCTAACTCGATGAGGTCATTAGACATTATGTATTTTTGAATAAAGACATGCAATCTTTTCATTTTTGTGTAATGATACAAAAGAAATGTGAGATGTCTTTTTACCAAGGTTTTGAAAAATGTGTTTATGTGAAAAGAGACTGTACCTAGGCTTATAACAACTCTTCTCTTAAATACTGCCAACCGATAAATTGATAACAGTATATCTAACAATGGTTTTGCCGACACACTTCTCTCTGGAAGAAATCCAAACAATAACCGCAGCGAGAATTGTCCAAGAGTGAACCCAGTATCTTGACACACATCAGTGAGGATGTCAACAAATAGTGATTGTAAGAACGATAACTCTTTACAGAAGATGAACAAGTGCAGAACATCTTCTTTTTCATTTTGACAAACTGGACAAATATCTGTGTCTGTCAAACCAAATTGGCTGAGTCTGTCATATGTGTAAATAATGTTATGGGCAATCTTAAAATCTCGTTGTATACATTCGGCTGATTTGTCATTTTGATACACATTAACCCAAACATCTTTCCAGTTGATGTCAAGAGATATATTATTCCACCAATTCATGGCAACTGGTTTTTTAAAATATTTTGTTCTGAAAATTTCATAATATTTCACCGTAAACAGCTGCACTGATACATCTTCGTTCGCTATAGGACAAAGTATTTCTTTACAAGGAGGATTTATGACAGCATCAGACAATATGATCTGTTTCCAATCTGTTGGAAGCGCATATAAAATAACAGCATAACCATTCTTGATTGTGGCCACATCAACATCAGGTATTGTTTCTTGTACAATTTCAACAATACTATCAGGTGACAAAAATTGTGGTATAACTTCATAGCAAATATCTTTTATGCAAGTGATCCCACCGTCAATGAATGATTTAAACAACAAAGTTTTGTTCATATACAAAATTAGAGGGTTGTTGAATAAAGGCTGACACATTATATCCGGTAAAGTGGTAGGGTTGCTTCTCTTACCACCACTGATGTCCTCCCAGGCAAGCAACAACTCAGCATAAAAAGGATTTACATGCAACATATCTTTTTTGTCAAACTTTAAACATAGTATGTTTGATTGTAATCCCATATTTAAATATTTTGAAAAGAAGAAAGACATAGTTGCTTTCCATAATGAGTCTAATTTACAATCTAAGAAAGCTTTTAACAGTTTCAATCTTAAAGCATACTTTTTAAGGCACAAATTGGGTGTATTTAAACCACCTTCTGTACATTTGCCCATGAATGTCACAGCTGCTATTTTTGGCTTTTTATTTACCCATAAGAATTTTGAAAACATTTTGGAAAAGGCTACTTCTACCCAGTGTGGCACTGGTAACACTGTAAAAGAGTACCATAATCTAGAGGCAATGAGGATGTTTAAAACCGTGGCTCTGCCCTGCAGTGTGAGTTGACGTTGAATCCATGAATTAAGTAGAGTTTGAATTTTATTTATCTTTTTCGTCCAATTTTGTGTCTCACAAGTGGCCAAGTCAGAGCCAAGATATATTCCCAGAAGTTCAACACAATCTTTTTTAACCTTCACGGGAAGACTAATGTTACATTTATTGAACTTGGCTTTACCAAGAAGTAACACCTCCGACTTTTGTAAATTGATCTTGGCTTGAGTTGCTTCGCAATAATATTTAATTGTTTCAAAAGTATTTTCCACTGACTGTGAGTTGCACACTGTAATAGTAGTGTCATCGGCATGTTGATATATTAAAGATGAAACATTGCCAATGTTGATGCCTTGAATATGTGGGTTCTCTTTTATTAACAAATTTAATGGTTCAGAAATAAGCACAAACAGCATGGAACTCATCGGGTCCCCTTGCCTTACTCCACGGGATAGTTTGAAATATGGACTTAAATGTCCATTACACTTGACAGAACTTTTAATGTCTGTATACAAAATTCTAATCCAGGATATAAAATGATTCCCAAAATTGAATTTTTGTAAAATATCCAACAAGTAATTATGTGAAACTCTATCGAAAGCTTTCTCTAGATCTACTTTAATTAAAAATGCATCTTTAT